TCATATGTGGATCCTAGAACCAGACTCTCATAAATAAGTATGCAGCCAGTCATAACTACAGGAACCAGAGGGATGGAAAGGAAACATGGAGGTAAAGGAAAAGAAATAACCTGAAAGAGAAGAACAGTAGGAAACAGGCCTTAATAAGGGAGATATGGATAAAAATTGGGTTAGTTTAAGGGGGGGGGGAAAGGTATACAAGGAACCGAGGGGATAAAGGGAAAGAAGGAGCTCAAGAGAGGTAGGACCATAGAAGAAGGATGTTAGTAAGGGAGAAAGGGGGGAAATGGGGCACCTTAAGTGGGAAAACCATAATGGAGGGGTGAGACAATGCGAGAGATAAACAATGCCTAGCTAGTTTTGAAAATCAGGGAAACATATTACTCCTACACCCTACTGACAAATTATACATAGCAGATCAAGAAATTTGAGGCCTCTAACAATTTGGTCAGAGAGACATAAAGGACACTTTTTGCTCCTAGCCCTCCTAGGTCGACTAGTTCCAGGGGACTATGAGCATCTCTCAAAATGTCCTATAATGGTGGTGGGTCACCTGTCCTCTTGATCAAGGAGGCCGAGGAGACCCCACCAGATGGACTTGAACCAGTGTCCAGTCTACAAAGAGGAGGGTCAACACAGGGGAATCATTTCCTCCATGCTTCCAAGCAAAGCCAACCATGGTCGAGCAGGACCTTTGAGTTATCTTCACATAGGCAGAAGTGGTAAAAGAAAGGAGCCAGGGGCTCCTCTGAAGCCCATGTGACCCCCGATGAACAGATCCTCAAACGACCTTAATAGTGAAAATAAATCAGTTTATCTGGGCCAACTGTATGGCCTTAAACACCCCAAAGGAAAGTATAACCAAAGATTAAAGGGTCCAATATAATTTAAGAGTCCATATGTATAGCTAAAGCCTACATAACAAGCAACAATGCCAGATAGGAGATACCTTCTTTTGAGTTATTGGCCAGGGTGGCGTAAGAGACTCCCAGACAGTAACCCAGTATTTTATAAAATAAATAGATATGGGGAGATTGTCAACATTAATCTTGTGAGAGACAAAAAGACTGGGAAATCCAAAGGATTCTGTTTCCTGTGCTATGAAGATCAGAGGAGTACAGTTCTGGCTGTTGATAATTTCAATGGAATCAAAGTAAGTGCTCTTATGACATAGGATTTGGCTGGACTTTTCCTGTATATGATAGGCTTCATTTTTTTTACCTGCTATCTATAGGTCTCAGTACAATACTGGTCAGCTGGATGGATTGTGAGGGCTGTAGAAATGCCAAGACTCCCTGGATAGGGAGTGATTCCAGGAAATCGTTCTTTGGGCTCATTGGCCTGCTGGGACTTGTTTCTTTTTCCAATGTGTTAGCAGTCTGCCTTTCCAGAAGTATGAATACTGTGTCCCCTCATTCAGGGAATGTTTTTCAAATACACATTCACCATCTGCTCTAGTGCATTAGGGAATGAAGAGACTAGCAAACACTGTTCTTGAATATTGCCTTGTGCCAGGCTTCATTGTGGCCTCTTGAACTAGGATATAGCCATGTCTGTCTGTCTGTGACTCCAGTGACTTAACACTTTGGTTCCTGGAAGTTTCCTAGTTCAAAAAGTCATTGTGAGATTTTTAAAAGAGTGGCATTCAGCAGTCACCATCAAAAGAACTTGTTTTTTCAAAAAAGTGTTTCAAAATGAGAAATAGAATGGATGACAGAAGCTTCTCAGACTTAAAAGGTCCAAGCAGAAATGTATTCTTGTCATCAAACAGTGGAACCAAACTTCAAATTTCAGATGATCTTACCTGTAGAATAAGTTTATCTGCTTGAAAATATTGTTTCTAAGTAGAGGGTTAATTTTATTGTTGTTCAGTTTTATTGTTGTTGGACTCACAGCCCAATAATCAGTGTGAACTCAATGTTGCAGTGTGGTGGGAGTAGAGAAGGGTGTGGGGGCTTAAGAAAAAAGGAAGCAGGGCTAAGAAAGTAGCTCAGTAGTACAGTGCTTGCCCAGCACATATGAGATCATAAGTTTAATTGCTAGGACTGTTACCAAAAAGTAAAGGTAATGTTCTTTTGAGTACCCTTCCCAACCATTGGTCTGATTTTTGCCTCCTAATTACTTCATTGAGAAAGCAGGTATAACATTCAGCTAGATTTCCTATATCCAGTCTTTTCTAGGACAGGTGTGTGTGTGTGTGTGTGTGTGTGTGTGTGTGTGTG